TATATATATATATATAATATACATACATACATACATACATATATATATAACCCCTCTTGCCACTGCGTGACTTGTTGCTATCATGTGGTAGTACGTGTCCATTCGCGCGCATGTGTTATGGACAAGGGAGAGCGGCAAAAAGTTCAACCTCACCTAACCGGTATATTCTGAATTTCACGGGCGGCACACGACGGTCCCGCCAAACACGATCTCCGGGGGACGCCAGCGGACATGTCACCCGAAGTCGCACCGCGACCCTGCCTCTCAAGTGGCCCTTAAAGTCTATCCTTTCCACGCACAGGCGGCCCGACCCGCGCTCTGAAGGGAACCCTCGGCCCGCTTCTCATCTGATGATGATCCTCTTCTTCTTCTTCTTCTTCTTCCTTCTTCTCTCTATTTTCTTCTTCTTCTTCTTCTTCTCTTTTTCTTTCTTTTCTTCTCTCCTCTCTCCTCCTCCTCCTCCTCCTCCTCCTCCTCCTCCTCCTCCTCCTCCTCCTCCTCCTCCTCCTCCTCCTCCTCTCCTCCTCTCTCTCCTCCTCTCCTCCATCTCCTCCTCCTCCATCTCCTCCTCCTCTTCCTCTTCCTCCTCCTCCTGCAGGTTCGGAGGACTCACGTTCACGCTCCGTTTTACGAGCTCTGTGAAATCGTGTTTGGGTAATGGTGAGAGCTATCAATCATGTTGCTGACGACCTTCCAGCTGCGCGATATCTATCTGTGAGAACCTTGGTGAAAAGGGACGTGTACATGTTATTCTGTATATCAGTATATGTATGTATATGTGTGTGTGGGTGTGGGTGTGGGTGTGGGTGTGTATGTGTATATGTGGGTAGGTAGGTAAGTAGATTGATAAATAGACAGACAAACAGACATATATACTAGATAGATATAGTGACTGTAATGTTATCATGCAACACCACCAAGTCTGGTGACGGTGCTCCTATCTGTCGGGATTTCTTTTCCAACAGAATGTGACCAAATATACCAAGAGAAAATTTTCCATATGTATTGTACAAGGTGATGATTAATGTCAAGTCAACAGGAAGAGGGATTGTAATTATTACGTACAAAGTAATAAATGCAGGTATGTGTGTATGTAACGGTATGTATGTGTGAAGGCGTATGTACACAGCGCTACGAGTTTATTATCTTATTTATTATTATTATTATTATTATTATTATTATTATTATTATATCTTTTATTATTATAAATATCATCATTATGATTATCATTATCATCACTATTATTATCATCACTATTATTATCATCACTATTATTATCACCACTATTATTATCATCGTTATCATTATCATCGTTATTATTATCATTGCTATTATTATCATCACTATTATTATTATCACTATTATTATCATCGCTATTATTATTCCCACTATTATTATCATCCCTATTATTATCACCACTGCTCTTATCATACATTCTGATGAAACATCGACAAGTCAAAAAAAAGGAAATTGATGCACAAAGATAGAAATGTCTCAACGCAGAAAATGGCGGCTTGCATGTACAGCCACCATCCGACGGCGGCACCTGCTCCTCGGCCATTACTGGAAGGATTAGAAGACTCGGGTAATAAGGTTTAAAACCGAATTTCACGAAGCGAGGAGAACCTTATCGGGGGAAAGACACCTGTTTTTCCTACGTGCATGGGTGTTCTCTGTTATTAAAATTGTTCTGCCTGTGAAAGCTTTCCTAGTAACGTAGCCTTGTGCCCGATAATACTTGTGGCTGTATGTGTGTAAGGAAAAGGAATATTGTGCGTTTGTGTTAGAAAAAAAGGATATTGTGTGTTTTTGTATTAGGGAAAGGGATATTATGTGTCTGTGTATTAGGAGGAGAGATATTGTGTGTGCTTATGTGTTAGAAAATTGATATTGTGTGTGTGTTTTTGTTAGGAAAATGAATGTTGTGTGTGTTAGGAAAAGATATATTGTGTGTCAGGAAAATGGATGTCGTGCATGAGTTAGGAAAATGGATATTGTCTGTCTGTATATGTGTCTGTGGTCTGCCATGTATGTATGTTATTTGGTCTTTATGCCAATGTCCATTTGTGGGAGGAAACTTTGGGAGTCTGAGTTTCTTTTTGTTTGCATAAGATGTCTGTATGTCCCTGCTCTTGTTTTGTGTGTGTGTGTGTGTGTGTGTGTGAGTGTGTGCGTGTGTGTGAGTCTGTGTTTTAATGTGTACAGATAATAATGAACTCATATCTTTTCTATTTCCTTGCAAAACCACATACACACACGAATGGATACTCTACATGCAAATGAGTGAGCTGCTTTAAAGACCTGGCCTGGTTTAAACAATCTAATAGTTCAGATCAGCAGTTCTTAACATTCTTATCCACTCCAAAAGCCTATCGTATCCATTCATATTTCCTAAAACTTCTTAAGTACTTTCAGAAGTCTTAAAACTCGATAAACATTTTTAGAACAAAACTTGCATGGGTGCTTAGAAAACAACTTAATATTGTTTTATGATTTTACA